TCTGCAAGCAAAAAAAGAAAAAAAAATGCCCTATTTTATACAAAGTTCCTTTCACTCTTTAAACATGAATAGCTGAGAACTGAAATACAAACTGGCTGTAGCTTCAAGTGACTAGTCAGGAATAGTCCAAACATAGCACCATATTCTGGAAGGTCAGACTTCTTCCTTGTCCCAGTTTTGTTGTGGCCAGTCCCGGCTCCCCCCACGCTGGGGGAAGCTGTTGCTGTTCAGCTGCTCTCTAACCCAGCCCTGGCCTGGGAAGGGGCAAGCCTGGCCCTTGGCTTAATTCTCTCTTTGGTTGCTGCAGCCCTTTTTCTCTGTTGTGCGAGGATGGGGAGGGGGCTCGGGCAGGCTGCTCTTGTGGGGTGAGGGCTGGCTTGAGACTCCTTCCATCGGCTCGGGGAAAAAAAAAATAGGTTTTGGTGTCTAAGAGCAGGTTTTGCAGGATGTCCTAAGGCAGCTGGAGGTTGCTCCTCAGCTGGAGAAGTGTCTCAGCAGCTGCAGCGTAGCTCCAAATCGGCAAAGCCCAGAGCACCAAGAGTGGATTCCAGTGCTGCAAGCATCTGACAGCCTGCAAGCTGGTGGGGCTCAGCGAGTGGTGGGAGGCCAGGTCCTCTCTCCGTGCTCGTACAGCTGATGGCCCATGCTCCTCTTGCAGGGGAAAGAGATTTTACTGCATCAGGGTAACATGGCACAGCCAACTGGACTTGGTGACCCCTGTGGTCCTCCCCAGCCTGGAAGCATCTGTTTCAGGGAGATCATCCAGTTTTTACCGATGAGAAAAGGTGCCCAGATGCATCTCTGCTCCTGCTTTGTGCTGCTCCTTTGCGGGGCCACAGGGAGCAGGAGGGGAATTGTGGTGCAGAAGAGCAGGGAGACCTGGTGAGGGTGATGGGCACCGGGTGGGAGCTGAAGGCTAGCTGGTGTGGAAGGGTCCATGAGCTGCAACGCTGAGCTGCTAGAAAAATATGTTCCTCTGCTATAAAGTGCCAGAGCTGGTCAGATGGAGGCTCTTTAATTTCCTCTTCATCTTTTCTGGTAATGAAGTCCCTGTTGGCTGAGCAGCGGAGGATGCCGGTGCTGGGCTCCCCGGGAGAGGCAGGTTTTGTGTGCAATGGCCTCATGGTCCAGGCACCTGCTCCACAGGGCAAGGCTGGAGTTGCTCAGGAACACGTACGACCTTTTCCAGCCTGCCTGTTTGTGGGAAACCAGAGCGACCGTAGGTAAATCACTTCAGTTTTTCATTCCCAGGCTGAGCTGAGGAGAGGTCTCCAGAGGTCTTTGCAAAAGTGCCCTGCTTCCCTCCTGCCTGGGGCTCCGTGTCGGTGCGGGTCCCTGGGGCTGTTGGCATCCCAGTGGGCTCAGAGGAACGCGAGGAGGACGCAGGCTCCTGCTCCCGTGCTGCCAGACAGGGAAAGCCTCGCGCTCGCCCTGGAGCAGCTGCAGCTCTCCTGCCCCAGGACGCGATGAGGGAAACCACATTCACAGTTTAAGCAATAAAACAGGAGAGAGCTGGGGGACAGGACTGCTCTATGCCCATCTTGGTCTCTGCAGAGACCTACGGACACATGTCTCTTTGGGGAAGACACAAGTTTTCCGTAACCCTTGACATCAGTCCCAGGTGTAACCAGAGAGCACAGCAAAGTGGGGTTGCAAAGCGGGGTCCCCCCGAGGGACCACAGGGCCCTCCCCCAAACGCTGCTCCGGTGGTTTTTAGCTGCTCAGTGTGGTTCTTCGAAATACGGCAAGGGACGGGGGGGCAGCAAGAGGAAACTTTGCAATCAGATGAGCACCATGACAGTGGATTGTTCAAAAATACATATACACATACCATATATATATATATGTGCATATGTGTGTTTTCCTAATACATATCCTCATATGCTCCTAAGGCATGTGCGTTTGCATGACGGAGTGAGCAGTATAAATGGATTTACCGTACACGAGGAGGGCTGCCGTCTTGGAACGGGGAAGGCAGGTCCCCGGGGGATGTGTGAATATGTGTGTTCTTTGAAATCTGCAATTCCTGTGGTGAGTTTTGTTCCCTGCAAGGAGCCCTGGCTCTGCTCGGTCCCTGGATTAAGACGCAGGTGGTCTTTCGGTCATAGAAAATCTATTCCTCAACTGACAACTACGGGGTTTTATTCTTCAAGAAGCGATAAATCCACAAAAATAAAATAAAAAAAAAGAACGTTCCCGCCTCCAGCTTCCTCCTGAGTTGTCCTTCTGGGGTCATTAGCCCAGGAGCCAAAGCAACGCCCCCGGCCAGGAGGCAGTGACCCTGCTGCACCAGGGTCGGGACAGCTGCTGAGCATCGGGAGGCGAGTGCCGTAACGGCAGAGTTATGGAAAAGTCGGGCCAAGAAGATTTAAAAAAAAAAAAAAAAGAAGGAAAAAAAAAAAAAAAAAAAAAAAAAAACAAAAAAAAAAAGACGAGTGAAGAGAATATTTCTCGCTCACTGCTGGTTCAGTTCTGATGGATGAAATTACCTGTGTTATCATCTCCAATACTTGCATGACTGGCCAGGTAATATATGGATGAAATACCAGAAGTAGAAGAATTAGTGAGAAATGGTTGCAAAAGGAGTCATCTCCAGCAACTAAATGAGGAAGAATTATGCTGAAGTTGTTCTGCATTTTCAGACAGAGAGAAGGGTTTGTAGCAGCTTTTAATTTATCTTTTCATTAAAAAAATTATCCCAAGAACTGTTGTCACATTGGAGTGAGTCTGTGTGATATAAGTTAATCCTGTCCTTCACGGGGAGGAGAAGGAAGAAGCGTGTGGCGGTGCGGCTAATGCTTCCTCGCCGCCTGCTCTTCCAAGTGGCCGACCTGCTCCGCCAGCTCGGAGACCTTGGCTTGGCAGTCAAGCAGGTTGTCCTTCAGTCCCGTTATTTCCTGAGAGTGGGCAGCCAGGGTCCCGTTCATGTGGTCCATGTAGTCCCACAAACTGCCCGTGTGTTTCTCCAGTTCGTCCCTGATGCCGTCCAGGCTCCCTGTGACGGCACCCAGCCTGCCGCAGAGGCTCTCCACCCGGGCCACCCGGTCATCAAAGTGAGCAATCTCCTGCTGCAGGTCATGGGCCACGCTCTTGCAGGAGCTCAGGTCACTGACGATCCTGGCTTTGAGTCGCTCCAAGTCTCCCTTGAGGTTCAGGACACGCCGGTTGCTGAAGAAGAGCTGGGAGCCTTGGTTGTTGACTTTCTCCTGGATGGAGTGGACCTCATCCTCGATCTTCCGCTCATGTTCATCCAGCGAGGAGTTGACATGTGTCACAGTGTCTGAGTACTGGGAGACGGAGTCCTTGAGCCCCGTCAGAGACTTGCTCACAGTGTTCAGGTTGATCTTCAGCAAGGTGATCTCTCCTTGCAAAGCCCCCGATGCTTCCTCCTCGATTCGCCGCTGGATCTCCAGGATGGTGGCGTTCAGCTTGCGCAGGAGGTCGTAGTTGCTGTCCATTCGGAGGAGCAGGTCCTGGTTCTTGTTCTGGCAGTCTTCGATCTCTGTCCGGAAGGTCTCCACATCTTTGGAGGCGGAGGTGCAGCCCAGGGAACAAGTGCTCTCCAGCGTGATGAGGCGATTCTGCAACACCTCCAGTGTCTCCTCCATCCGTTTCCTCATGCTGGCGAGCTCCCCCTCCAGCACGGGCACCACTGCTCCGTCCATG